CACAAAGCAGCTATAGCAGCGGCAGATTTCACAGCTCAAGTATGAGAGACTGTCTCGGGATGATTTGTTGACCCTAGCTCATAAATGTATTGTCAAGAGTATGGATTTCTTTGGTCAACAGCAAATCAGAAAATGGTTGATAGATAAAATAATATGAAATGGAACGTCACTGTCAGGAATAGGAGGGTATGTAATGTGTGGCTAATTGGTTCCATTAACAACTACTACTTTTATTGGTCATTAGGTTCTTTTTCTATCTGAAGCCCTGGAAAAAAGAACTGAGGAAAGAAAGTAAAAGGGCTCAAGCTTTCTGAGGATGCCTGGCCCTCTCTGCCTCCTTGCTCCTTTGACCCAGGCCTCCTCCCGGCTTAGAGTGGCAGCTGTTCTTAGAAACCCCTGAGGGTAGGACATGTGTGTGTGTGAGGGGGTGGGTAATGGAAAATGGCAGGAGTCCCTGAGGGCAATGTGTACTCCTCCCATCTGTTCATTCAACCCTCTTCCTGCCTCCTTTCCCATTTTGGTGTGGTGCTATAAGATAAACACTGGACAGCTAACCACAACGTCTATGGTTCAGACCCACCAGCCGCTCCTTTGGTCCCTATGATCAGAACTGACTTGATGCCACTTAACTTAGAAAGGAAAAGGGAGAGGTCAACAATGCCAGCTCTGAGAACACTTGTTAAATGCTGTAGAGTGGATTCTGACTTACAACCATGTATATGGTTTCCAAAGAGCGTCTGGTGAGCCTGAACTGTCAACCTTTTAGTTCAAACAGATCTTGCAGTCCTGTGCATTCACCTGCAGCACCACACCAGGAACACTTGTACCGACTCATAGCGACCTTATGCACAGCAGGACGACACACTGCCCGATCCTGGGCCAACCTCACTACTATTGCCACACTTGAGTCCACCAATGCTGCCACTTGACCACGTTGGGCGTCTTCCTTTTTCTCTGGCCCTCCTCACCAGGAACACTAGGGGGCTATACATAAGCAAGCCCCTCATTCATCAAGGCCCAACTCTGGAAGTAAGACGAAGGTGCAGTCAGACAAGATCACAAGGCCGAGACCCAGGCTAGCTCCACAGCAGAGTACTTCCTGTGCACAAGTCTCCATGCTAAGTTCTTGGCATATGAGGCTGTATCAAAGTTTGTAGAAAAATGAAATAAACTTTTTGAAGACCCCTTGTACATTCTCAAGAAGTACTATTAATCCCATTTTACAGAGGATGAAACTGAGGCCAAAGTAGGTTAAGTCCTAAACTACTTAGGAGTGTACCTAATATTCTTAGAGGCAATGGAATTCCCCAATGTGTACAGGGCTTGCCCCATGGTGAGGCATCCTTCCAGCTCCCAGTACAGAAATCCTTTTAAATGCAGGGTTAACCCTGGAGCATTCTGACCTATACCAGCCAGCAGGCATCCGGGCTGAAGGAACTATCTGTAGTGTCTTTGATGGAACTATCTACAGTGACTTTGATTGCAAACTGGATGATGGTTACAGAGGAAATCAGTTTTCCATTCAACAACTCCTACATTGTTTCATGTCACTGATTGTAACCCCCACAGTGCAGTATCACAGTATCACTTATCCCGCTTCCATGTCCAGCCTGCCTTTCCCTTCTGAACATTGTCCTTGGGTGAATACTACCCTTTTGATCTCAAATGGTTGATTCTTCTAAAGTGTGTGAGCCTCACTAGTTACTATTCTCCTTTGTCTGTAGTTTTGTGGTAACAGTAGGCTGCACTTCTAAGCACATGTGGGTCAGCCAAGGCTCTCATTCATATTAAAAAGCTGTCAGGGAAACAAAAAAGTCAGAGGCCTGATCAGTTTGAACCACAAGGTCAACAGTTCAAATTCACCAGCTGCTCCTAGGAAATCCTATACAGGGTTTGCTATGGGTTGGAACCAATTTGATGGCACTTAACAGCAAGTGCCATCAAGGTGTGCGACAGGGTTGTATTCTTTCACCATATTCAAACTGTATGCTGAGCAAATAATCCGAGAAGCTGGGTTCTATGAAGAAAAACATGGCATCAGGATTGGAGAAGGCTCAGTAACAACCTGCGATATACAGATGATACAACCTTGCTTGCTGAAAGTGAAGAGGACTTAAAAATACTTACTGCATGAAGATCAAAGAGCACACACAGCCTTTGGTATAGATTGTACCTCAATGTAAAAACAATAATCCTCACCACTGGACCAATAAACAACATTCTTTTTAATGGAGAAAAGATTGAAGTTCAGGGACTTCATTCTTCTTGGATCAACTATCAACACTCATGGAAACAGCAGTCAAGAAACCCAAGGACGTATTGCATTAGGCAAATCTGCTGCATAAGATTTTTTTAAAGTGTTGAAGAGCAAAGATGTCAGCTGGAGGACGAAGGTGTGCCTGACCCAAGCCGTGGTACTTTCAATAACCTCATATGCATGCGAAAGCTGGACAGTGAATAAGGAAGACCATAGAATTGATGCATTTGAATTATGGTGTTGGAAGAAGTGCAGCCAAAGTGCTTCTTGGAGGCCAGGATGGCCAAACTTCACCTCTGATACTTCGGACATATTGTCAGGAGGAACCAGTCACTGGAGAAGGGTATCATGTTTGGAGGGTGGAGGATCAGAGAAAGAACCCCAAACCCCTGGACTGGCAAAATGGCAGCATCACAGGCTCTAGCATGGTAATAGTGAGGTTGGTCCAGGACCGGGCAGTGTTTCATTCTGTTGTGCACAGGGTGGCTATGAGTTGATACTGACTCAACAGCAACATCATACAGGTTATAGGATAGGAACTGGGACTAGAATCAAATGAAACTGGCTTGTTCAGTACCTTACGCTAGGCCCTGGCTCAGCCTTAAGTACAGACTAGGTGGAATCCCAGCGTACACATCTGGGCTTAACACACAAATAAACCTAACTAGAAGTCAGGATGTATCAATTGAGTAGACCTTTTGAGGTTCTGCATACTGCAACTCACCATAAATTCCAGAGACGAGCCTGTAGAGCTTAGACTAATAAGGGAAATAATTCAGCATAAGGAGCTATATGTGGCTAGAGGTTAGCATGTGGGTAGTGGACACAGAGAAGCAAATGGATCATGGGTAGTACAACCTGCAGCTGAATTCTACTGGAGCCACTACAGGGGTGCAGAGGGTAACAGGTGTTAAGGCATTAACTTCAGTACTTGTTTGGCAGAACATTTTACCAATTGTTATGACACCCCAAGGACTCAAACGTTAGGGAGCAGCTGTCCCTACAGCCAAGTCCTGGCTCTGGAATAAAACTCACAAGCCATTGGGTCAAACAATGAGTATTTTGAATTGGGATTGACCTGGTAGCACTAAGAACTAGGGAGGCAGGGATTATCACTGGGGAAGGAGGTGCTTCTAGAGTGGCTCTGAAAAGATTTACCCACGTAATGGTTAGAGGTATGCTGATGATTCAAGTTGTTAAGTGATGTTGAGTGGATTCCAACCCACAGTGACCCTGATAGGGTTTTCTGAGGAGCAGCTAGTAAACTTGAACCACTGGACTTTCAGTTCAAACGGCTTTGCAGTCTGGCACATTAACCCACAGCGCCACACCAGGACTAATTTGCATCCTTTCTGTGTCTAAGTTTTATTTAAAATAAAATAATTCTCATGCCCAAGGTATTGTTACAGCATCACCTGGTGGAACATTAAGAGTACTAAATCTCTCAGTCTAACTTCCAATTTTAAGGGACTGATTTATAGGATACTCACTAGAAAAGGAAATATACAAGATCACCTAGTCTGATTTACAAAGGTCTCTCTGTAATGAGATCTTACATGACCAGGACGGCCCGACCTCCATTTCCAACAGCCACTACTATGAATTTCCAGTGCAGTTGAACTCATCAGCCACTCCCAGGAAACCTAGAGTCAGAACTGGCTTGCTGGCACTTAAAAAGTTTCACTGAAAAGAATCACACCCCCATGGCTCAGTTTTCAGCCAATAAATGGATATATAGGGGACACCACTATTGAATACACACACCATAGAATAGTCAACCATTTGAGATCAAAAGAACAGCATCTGCTGAGTGCCAAGGTACAGAAGGTTGGGGAAGGAATGGAAACAGGAAGTTAAGGATTGCATTAAGATGAAATATGTGATTTGTTGAATAGGCTCTGTAAAACTGTGTCAGACTGCAAAGTTGTTTGAACTGAAAGGTCAGTGGTTCAGGCTCACCAGCTGCTTCTTAGAAACTCTATACAGGGTAGATATGGGTTGGAATAGACTCAACGGCACTTTAACAACCCCAAGTTTAGAAATAAAACATTCAGTGCAGTTAATTTACCCACAGCAATAGTCCAATACTGCCTGTAGTGGAAGGGTGGGCAGAGCACCAACATTCCAAACTCATGTGTGCACGGTGCTGTTACTGAGGCCAGCTCTGCTCACTCACTTGCACATTCCCCCCACCTCCCCTGAAGATCATCCTAGAAAATGTCATTCAAGGAAGAAAGGAAGCACAGGTAAAGCAAACCTATGTTCTAATTTCCAATCCTGAGATATGACATAGAGTCCTGGTGTGGTGCTGCAGGTTAATGCACTGGACAACAGGTTGATCTGAGCCCAAGGTCAGCGGTTCAAGTTCATCAGCTCTGACAGCACTTAACAACAATCCTCTGTTCACCTAAGGACTTTTGGATATTAGAACCTTCCTAAGTGTCATGTGTTAAATACTATGTGCACAGAGCGTCTGTCTTGGTGTAGCTGATGGTGGAAAAAGTTGTTTCTCTGGTTAGCTCTGCTTAGGTCCTTCCCATTTCTGGCCTTTGCCAAAACTGCAAAAATACAGCTAAAATAAAACCAAGAGGGGGGAAAAATCATTATAAAGGAAGCACAGAAATATTCTGGGAAGGCCAGGAGATAGCCCCAAGTATCAATCAATTAGGAGACAAGCATATCAATGCTCAGTCAACATGACCCTCAGTCTGAATACTAGACAGAGAGTCAAGTCAGGCCATGCTTCTTTTTAAAAGATTTTTATTAAGTTTTAAAGTTCTTTACAGAGCAACATCCAAATCCCAGATCCGGCTGCCAAGGAGACCCTGAAACCAAATAAAGTACAACAGTAACTTCACCTGAGTAACACGTTCCTTCAATTACCAAAGGGCTCCACACTACTTAGGGTTTTCACAGGCTACCTTAAAAATAAGCAAACCCCAGAAGAACGGGGCAGAGGAGAGGGCTTGGCGTTACAATGTTTTAAGGTACCTGCTGAAAATAACTAATTATAAACAAGAGGAATGTGTCCTTGGAAAAAGGGAGGACAATAAAGCAAACTTCCTGCATTAATTTATATTAAGACAGGAGCGTCTTCAGACCAAAGGTGAACAAAGCACCCCCTCCAACAGAACCCGGCATTAAATGGCTCCCAGCTGCCACAAGAAATCAATGTAAACAGAATTTGATTCACCAAGTGGTTATACTAAACATACATACATACCTGTTATGCAGTGGGGACTGGCTGAGGCATAGCAGGTGGCTCTGGCTTCCCACCCTTCTGCTCCGATATGGGGGTGGTGGGTAGTATCTCATCTTTGGGTTCCACAATGCTCACATGGTCAGGCAGGGGTTTCTTCGGGCCAATCTTACCACTTGGGTCCCAGGGCAGCATGATCTTCACTTTGATGCCCAGCACACCTAGAGGACACCACAGTCAGAACCTAGCAGTGGTTTCAACCACCTGCCAAGCAATAAGACAAAAAAAAAAAAGTCCCCAGGAACTGGTCCCTTCTCAGACAAATGCCTCTAAATCATCAATGAGCAGGACACCTTTGCAAAAGGAACCGCTGCCCAGGATCACAGAACGTGGCCCTGAACAGCATCAAGAGCAGGAAGTGACCTTTCTGACTCGTCATCGTGTCATCACTGAAGGGTATTCTGGTGGCAGTGTCAAAGACAAAAATCAGTGCATGGATTTGACCCCAGCATTTCAATGTCTACAAGTCAACTAATATTATGTCCTCTACCTCAACATTCCCAGTGGCTCACCCTGTCTGAGCAGCACGTGGCGCACGGCTGTGTCAACGTAGTAGTTAACAGGGTCCCCACTGTGGATCATCAGACCATCCACAAATTTCATGGACTTAGCCCTCTGTCCTCGAAGTTTCCCAGACACCACGACCTCACAGCCTTTGGCTCCACTCTCCATGATGAACCGCAGCACACCATAGCAGGCCCTGTAGGAGAAACCATTTCGTGTTATTGTTAAGTGCTGTGAAGTTGGTTCTGACTCATAGCAAACCTGTATAGAGTCTGAGGAATGGCTGGAGAATTTACAGTTCAAACCAACCTTGAGGTGGAGTGCTTATCCTATAGCACCACACCAGGACTCCATTTGTTATTAACTAACAATAAAAGAACCTCACCTTTCTCCACTGACTGGCATTGTCTACTTGTCAACATTCCTTTACTAGAGAATGTGAGCACTCTGACTGAAGAAATAGCAATTCTCTTCCATTCCCATCCCCCCGAATCTAAGGCTAATTCCTCCGGATATTAAGGTCAAATTCTTAACAAATTCCATTCCCCCACAAACCTTTCTTTGAAGCCTCTCGGGTTTGAATCACCCCAAGAAGGTTAAGAGCAACAAAAACAATACAATGCCTGAGCCTTACTCCAGGCCAATGACACCTGTGGTCTATTTAACCTAATTCAAGCTAACTTGCTTGTTTTGCCTATTCTGAAGCAAGTCCTTTCAGTCCAGCATTTCTGAAGCAGGGAAGGAAGCCTTTAAGTAGTCCATACCTTGATATTCTTAATCATAGTAGACTCCAGATTTCAGGTTTACCAGGAAACCTACTTACTAATATAGAATCCTGGGTGCCTTGAGACTAGAGTGCTGTGGGATAACCACTAATCTAGCAAACTGAGAATCAGTCCTAAAATGAGGCCCTCTTGAATATTCATTAGTTTATATATTTGATAAGATACAAACTGGAGAGCTAGCTGTTACATTCTCACTTTCAATAGAGCAAAGTTTTAATAAAACCTACCACCCATGACCCAGTGAGCTCTGGAACCAGTGAGCTCTGGTTACGAATCGGGCTGCGAACCTTAAGGTCAGCGGTTCGAAACTACCAGCCGCTCCGCAGGAGAAAGATGAGGCTTTCTACTCCCGTAAGGATTTACACCCTCGGAAACCCTGTACAGGGTCGCTATGGGTCGGAACCGACTCGACGGCACTTAACAACAACAACCACCACCCATGACCCAGGAATGAACCCTACTTAAACAGGGGACCCAGAGGTCAGAGATCAGTAACTTGCTTGGGCTTTAGAACTTACAAGAGCCTTTCCTTTCCTGGCAGCCATCTTTACCAGGAAGACCTGTAACCACTCACATTTGTTGCTGTTAAGTGCCGTCAAATTCATTCAACTCACAGGGGCCCTGTATAGGGTTATGAGGAGTGGCTGGTGAGTCTGAATTGCCAACCTTGTAGTTCAAATCAATTTTTGATCTAGTGCTTATCCTACAGTGCCACACCAAGGCCCCTCACATTACGACTTGTGGCGCCAGCACTAGACTGTTAACCACAGCCCAGCAGCAATGACAAAGCACCTCTGCCTACACATACAGCATGACCGCAGTTACAATGGCAGAATCAATCTTTTCACTGCCTACCCCCAGTTCTTTCTCAGCATCACAAAGGAGACCAACTAGAAACCTAACCTCTCCTCTGTTCTGCCCCCAGTCTACTTCCAAGGCACCCAGAACATGCCTCCATTCCAGCAAGGACCACTTACCTCCGCACAGCAAGCCCTCCTAGGAGTTTGTAGCGCAGAGACTCTGCCTGGGCAATGGCACACAGACCTCTTGTGGCCACCTTTTCAGCATAAAGCTTTAAAAGAAATAAGGTACACTCCTTAATCTTATGTTTCCCACTAAAGCAGCACCTTTATACCAGTTTCCTTTCTTACGACACTAGCACCTTTCCTACCCATCACACTGAGTTGATTCTGACAGTGACCCAGTAAAGGGATTTTGAGGAGCAGCTCGTGGGTGTGAACCACCGACCTTGTGGTTTGCAGTCCAGTGTTTATTCTACAGTGCCACATCAGGAGTCCATGGGTCACTGTTGTTGTTAAGTGCCATTGACCCTGTATAGGTTTTCAAAGGAGCGGCTAGTGAGTATGAACTACCAATCTTGTGGTTCAAACCAACCTTCAGGTCCAGTGCTTTATCTCACATACCAGGACTCCTACTACCCAGCTTTCATTAACATACATGAAACCCCTGATTAAACCCCCAAGCCCAACCATTTCTACGACCAATACATGGTATATCACATGTACATGAAACCTCAGGGTATGAGGGGAGAACTTCACAGTTGACAGAAAAAATGGAATAAAAGATGGAATTAGCAGAATTAACTTATTAAGTATTACAAGAATTTCAACAAAATACCACCCCATGATTCAAGTTTACAAGGTGATAGTGGAAGGCTTTAAAGAACCATTTCAGGTCCACAGGTAACTTCTGCAGTAAGCCAGGACTAGTACTCACCTCTACACTGCCCTCAGGGAAGCCAAACCTCTTCTGAACCACGGCGGTCAGTTCCCGAATCCGCCGGCCCTTCTCACCAAGAACATTCTGTGTCCTGGGGGGAAAGAATGACAACTAGCATTAGATCTTAGAAATATTCAACTCTGAAAAATAACTGCACTTGTTAACTGACAAATTCATCAGTTTTTCCCTAAGCTCAAAGTAAATCATCTTAGTATCGATGACGGCCAATCAAGTGAGCTTTTACCTGGTGGCTAGGATGATGATTTCTGTCCTGGTTGGTGTAACTCGAACTTCAACTCCAGAGTAACCATCTTCAGCCAGCTCCCGTGTGAGAAACTCATTCAGTTCGGCTTTGAAGATGCCATCAGCTACAAACTAACCAAAAATCGAAGTTCAAAATTAGAACATGAGTATAAGGCTAATTTCCCTAAGAATAGAGAGATTGACCTAATCTTTCAACCAAGTCATTCATTATCTTTGTTCAACAGGAATTAACCCTTCTCAGACAAATGCCTCTTGGTCATCTTTAGGAAGTTACTTTGACTCAGGACCCTTAAAACTGTGCCACAGAACGCAGCACAAAATAAGCCACCTGGACAAAGGGACACCTCCAATCAGACTCGTCATCATCTCTTCATTGAAGGGTTTTTTTTTTTTTTACTTCCCTTAATATTTAAATGTATAAAATAAAAGGCGCTCTAAAACGGCACATTTAAGGAGCTCTGGTAAGCTTAATGGGCTGCTAACCTCGAGGTCAGCAGTTTGAAACCACCAGCCATTCCACAGGAAAAAGAGGCTTTCTGCTCCCATAAACATTTGTTGTTATGTGCCGTGGAGTCGGTTCCGACTCATAGTGACCCTGATGCAGGGTTTCCGAGGCTGTAAATCTTTATGAGCAGAAAGCCTCATCTTTCTTCCACGGAACAGCTGGTAGTTTCGAACTACTGTCCGTGAGATTAGCAGCCCGATTCGTAACCACTACGTTACCCTACACCGGGTCGCTCTAAGTCAGAACCGACTCCACGGTACACGACTACAACCACCAGAACCACCAAAATGGCATTTTCATCTCTTTCATTCAGCACAGCAGGGACACAATGCTTCTAAGTTAAAAACCATCAGAAGGTTCTCAGCCTGTGATCTTGCTTTTCTTAAAACGTAACTTAACAGGGATAGCCAATCCTACATCTCACAAAAAAACGTTTTAGTCTTAACCGTAACATTACCGCATAACTACATAAAACTTTTTAAATTTCCACTTTTAAAGTAGATATAACACAGTTCTCTCCTATGGAGAGAAGTTAAACTCGACAAGGCTTCGTCTCCGCGGACCTCCCCCCATCAGATGACTTTTCCTTGGGTCCCCAAACGGAGCACAAAATTGTCAGCTGCCTGTCAAACTGCTATCTTTCGGGGCAGAAAATTGCACCCAGACAGATTAGCGAGAAGGTGGGAAGTAACTGGAATATTGTCAATTCCCCTTCTCAATACCTCGGGGTAAGAGCTGAGATGAATTGCTCATCCCCTCGGAATGCCACGTTTACTTATTCCACTTTGTTGACGACGAAATACGCAGCAGCAATTTCTCTAAGGCAGGAGTGGCGCCCAGTGCTCATCTCTGTACCCCGCCCGAAACCGGTAGAAATCGGCCTGTCTCTTCCTTCCCCGGCGCCACACTGCGATCGCTCAGATCGGGCCCGCACTCAATCCAGAGCCATCTGCGACCCCAGGAACGCCAAGCGGATCAAGCCTTCTCTTGGGACAAGGCACAGAGCTCCATGTCGCGCTATGGTATCTCTGTAAGTTTCTGACGCGCACGATGCCGCAGTTCCCTTGACCAGGTTCCAGCGTCTCACCTTCCTCTTCTTGGAAATTTGTACCGCCATGTTGCGCCGCGCGCCGCCGAAAGGAAAGGAAGTGGCTCCCCAGCGGAAGTGCGTATAAAGGGTGCGGAATGACGACAAAGAACCGCGCGACGTCCATGCTGGTGAGCCCTCGTGGGAAGTGTAGGATTTGGGGAAATGTAGTTTTAAAATGCCTTTAAGTTTTGGGGAAACGCTAGTTTTTCTCATACGTTATCAAATATCCAAATAGTGTGATATAGAGCTTAAGAAGACAGATTTGAGCCAAATAGCGTAGGTTTACATCCCTTGGCCTGGTTATTTTCTAGCTATATGAATGACCTTGGGCGAGTTATCTCAGCATCATTTTCCTCATCTATAAAATGGAATGATAACAGCAGTAAACTCACCATATAGAAGAATGATTGTGAAATTAATGAATATATGCAAAGTGTTTAGAAATGCAGCTGGCACATAGTAAGTGCTCCGTTGTTGTTAGGTGCCAATGAATAGGTTCTGACTTATAGCGACCCTATGCACAACAGAGAGAAACACTGTTTTGTCCTGCGCCATCCTCACAATTGTTACCTTGAGCCTACTACTGCTGCCACTGTGTCAGTCCATCTCATTGGAGGTCTTCTTCTTTTTAGATGACCTTACACTTTACCAAGAAAGATGTCCTTCTGCAGGGACTGGTCCCTTCTGATAATATGTATGAAATATGAGAGACAAAGTCTTGCCATCTTAATTTCTAAAAAAACGTTCAGGCTGTACTTCTTCCAACACATATTTCTTTGTTCTTCTGGCAGTACATGGTTCTTTCAATATTATTTTCCAATACCACAACTCAAATGCATCTATTCTTCTAAGGTCTTCCTTAGTCATTGTCCAACTTCCACATGCATATGTTATTATTGTTGTTGCTAAGGGCCATTTAATCGATTCTGATTCATACCGCCCTGCACAGGGTTTCTGTGGAGCCCACTGACCTCAGTTTGCATGCATATGAGGCTATTAAAAATACCATGGTTTTGGTCAGGTGCACTTTATTACTCAAACTGACATCTTTGCTCTTGAACACTTTAAAGCAGATCTGCGTAATGCAATACGACATTTGATTTCTTTTAGCAAGCAAAGGTGTATCATTTGCATATTGCAGGTTGTTAATGAGTCTTCCTCCAATCGTGATACTATATCTTCTTCATATAATCCAGTTTCTCAGAGTATCTGCTCAGCATACAGATTGAAAAAGTATGGTGAAAGAATACCAGCCCTGACACCCACCTTTCCTGATTTTAAACCATTCAATATCCCCTTGTTCTGTTTGAACAACTGCCTCTTGGTCTATTGTACAGATTCCTCATGAGAACAATTACATGCTCTGGAATGTCCATTCTATGCAATGTTATCCATAGCTTGTCATGACCTGCACAGTTGAAAGCCTTTGCATAATAGATAACATGCAGGTAAATATCTTTCTGGTATTCTTTGCTTTCAGTCAAGATCCATCTGGCGTCAGCAATGATATTTCTTGTTCTGCGTCCTCTTATAAATCCGGCTTGAACCTCGGACAGTTCCTTGTTGATGTACTGTTGAAGCCATTTTAAAATTATCTCCAGCAAAATTTTACTTGCATGTGATATTAATGATATTGTTTGATGATATCTGCATTCTGTTGGATCACCTCTCCATCAGCTTTAGTTATTATTACTTAGAACTATGGCCTGTGTCAGTTTCAGGGCACACTGATGTATCTGACTCAGATCTTGCTTTCCAAAGTTCACAGCTGGGACTGGAGGAGGGGCACAATGGGAAATAAACAAGTGTGATAGGCATCATAGGTAATTTTCTAGCTATATGAATGAGGTCCCTCACAAGAGGGTCAGAGGGACCGTAAGGCACTGAGTGGGGGGAAGGACATCAACTCTCCAAGAAGCGGGAGGCCAGAATATTGGAAAAGATTCATAAGACTCCAATGCTTGAGTTTTTGAGTTAAGTCTCAAAAGAGACTCAAGTGTTTTCTACATCTGATGGTCACATTCAGGCAGAATGAATGGACATTTGGGGGCAAAAGAAGGGCTGTGCTCCCCCCCCCTTTATGAAAATAGTTCTCTGTTTCAACAAGTAAAATACATTAATAAACAATACTGAAAAGTATAAAGAAAGAAGTTAAAATGTCCTGGCATTATACAGTTCTGACTAAGCAGTGTACACATTTTGGGGAACATGGTTACAGATTTACCCCTCCCCATTCCTCATCCTTACCCCTAGCCCCACCCGCAGGCATCAAGAAATGCAGCAATGAATAGGTCTATAGATATATACATCGGATGTTTTCTGGTGTGGTGCTGTGGATTCCTCCTATGGAATTTTAGGGTCAGCACTGTGAACCACAGGATCAGTAGTTCAAAACCACTAGCTGCTCCTTGGAAACCCTATACAGGGTCACTATGAGTCAAGGAGCTTTTGTAGCATAGTGGTTACGAATTGGGCTGTGAACCACAAGGTCAGCAGTTCAAAACTACCAGCTGTTCCATGGGAGAAAGATAAAGTTACTGTTCCTGTAAAGATTTACAGCCTCGGAAACCCTGTACAGGGTCGCTATGAGTCGGAACTGATTCCGTGGCACCTAACCACCACCATCATGAGTCAAAACCGACTCAACAGCACTTAACAGTAACAACACACCTCCCATGTCACACAACCCAGATCACCACAATGCAAAGGATGTTGGATTTGCCAGGAGGGCCCAGGGGGTGGGGATAGGGTGGGAATGTGGAGGGGCCTGGGGGTGGGGAGTTGACAACTCAGTTGGAGGCAGGACAGTGTGGAGCTTTGGGGTCCGGCCCATCTGTTTTCCATTCCAGTGCTGCCACTTATGAGCGAGTCACCTAACCTTTCTGAGCCTCAGATTCTGCATCCAGAAAGTAGAAAAATGATCATTAGCCTCATAGGGTTTTTTATTGCTCTAATGGTATCTGGAAAACACTCAGCATAGTACCCAGCAAGTGGGAAGTGTTTGCTATATTAGCACAGCTTTTAGTGCAAACAAATAACTTGGCATTTGTTGTTGTTGTTGTTAGGTGCCATTGAGTCGGTACCAGCTCATAGCGACCTTATGCACAACAGAATGAAACACTGCCCAATCCTGGGCCAACCTCACTATCGTTGCCACGCTTGAGTCCATCGATGTTGCCACTTTGCCAATCCATCTCGCTGGGGGTCTTTTTCTTTTTCTCTGACCCTCCACCTTAGGTTTACGTTACTTTTCAGTGAGTTTGGTTAGGGTGAGTTATCCGTCCCAAATACTACCCAATACCTCACAAGACACCACTGCCATTCATTTTCTCTCACACTGGTCTCTATTGGACTAGAGGGGAAAGGATCGTATGTTAATAATATACAGAATACAGAAAACTCCCTTAGAGGAAAGATGTGGGAATAAGTGGACTAGAGGTTACACAAAGGAAACAGAAAGATCCAGCTCAATTAGAAGAGAGAGAGGTTTAGGAGATCCAACCCCACCCACTCCTGGAACCATCAGTCTGGAGGCAGGGGGCTCAAGGACAGACAAAAGGAAAGGAAAAGCCTGTCCAGTCTAGTGAGGACTGGGAGGGGGCGAGCAGGCTCAGGGGGCCAAGCAGGTAAGAAAGACCAGCTGAGCCCTTTCTGAGGGAGGATGACTGAGCCCTGCTAGGGGACCAGAACACAGATGGCGTGCTTAGAGACAGTAAGTTTGTTCAGTTTAATTTTGGAAGGAGAAAATGCTGCCTTCCCTTCCAACACTCTCAAAGATCCGCATACTGTGCACTGTGGCAACCATAATCATTAGCTTCAAAGACTTGGTTAACTCAGAGAGGGGTGGGGGCCGCTACTTTCCCCATCTGGCACCCCTTACCTCTTCAACTGGTTGTTGTTGTTGTTATGTGCCGTGGAGTCGGTTCCGACTCATAGCGACCCTGTACAGGGTTTCCGAGGCTGTAAATCTTTTACGGGAGCAGACCGCCTCATCTTTCTCCCGCGGAACAGCTGGTAGTTTCGAACTGCTGACCTTGCGGCTCGCAGCCTGATTTGTAACCACTACGCTACCAGAGCTCCTTGTTCCAATTCATAGTGCCCTATATAGGGTTTCCGTGGAGTGGTTGGTGGGTTTGAGACGCTGACTTTATGGTTATCAGTCCAGTGCTTATCCAGTAGTGCTACACTAGGGCTCCTTTTCCAACAGGGCTACCAAAGGTGTCCCTACTCAAGTGGATGCCTTTGGTAGCCTTATTGGAGGGAGATAAAACAGTATATGAGAAGGCAGGATGGTACACAAACATTTGAAAACAATAAACATGGGGCAGGTGGCTGCCCTCTCAGGATTTCACTAGTGACATCTACAAAGGGCTGTGTGGCCCTATTAAGGTTACTGAAGCACAGAAACAGCATGGCAATAAGCCAGTGCTACCAATGCCCCTATTCTCAGCTCAAGGCAAGGCTGTGGGAACAGGCTGCTTTGCTTAGAAGCAAAGGGGAGGTAGAAGCCAAGCATAGGCTTTCAGCCAACAATGTCCAGGGGCAGGAGCCAGACATCAGGTATGGTAGCTGGCTGGGAGCAGAGATGTCTGAGGAGGATACCTTGGGTAGAGAGAAAACATTAGAATCATCCAAATAGTTCCCCAGACTCTGACTGCACAGACTTGAAAGACCAGGGCTTCTGACTCCAAGTAATCTTTGGTTGGCTTTGGAATTCCTTCAGAGTGATGGTGGACTATCTGTCTCTGTATGACAGTTGCAAATCCCCACATAGTCATGGAGTGTATGGGAGCATGTGGAGCACTGGCTCTTGTCTACACTGCTGGGTGTATTGTAAATGAGCACAGCTGCTTTAGCATCTTCAAGGTATGTTGATTATGCCTCCCTCATTGTTGTTGTTGTTAGGTGCCATTGAGTCAGTACCGACTCATAGTGAACTTATGCACAGCAGAATGAAACATTGCCTGATCCTGGGCCAACCTCACTATTGTTGCCACGCTTGAGTCCATCGATGCTGCCACTTGGCCCATCCATCTCATTGGGGGGTCTT